AGCGTGACTCTGCGGCCAAAGGAGGCATCCCGTCTAGGATGTGTTACGACGTGGTTCGCCAGGTTGTGTCGCCCAGTTCCAAAAAGTACACGGCCCTGCAGAAGGCCAGGATTCGGGCTTTCGCCACCGAGGCCTTTTTCACGGCTGCCAAGGCTGAGGCTTTAGGCTATTGTATCTCTCCCGACTGTGCCTTCTGCGGTGCCCGTGGCATTGTCTTCCACCGTTTGTGAGGATCCCAGCATACTGAGGTTCTGGAGGCCCGTTTGGAGGCTGTGAAGCAGGAGATCATTGATGCTGCGCTTGCCGCTAAGGCTTCTGGGGACTTCGAAGACTACTTCGTCTTTCTATCTGGAGCCTTTCGGCATCCCGCCGACGGTTACCCCAGGCCTGCTGTGGAGTCTGATGATGGCCTGTTCCTCACGCGGCATGTCCCTCCTGACTCTGCCCCAGATGGTCGGCCCATTACCAACCGTATCTGGGGCGCTTTATTTGTTGACGGGTCTTGTGCTCGTCATGCTGTTCGGGGGCTCACGCGTGCTGCCAGCTTGGTCTGTATGGTTGACTCCGATGGGACTCTTGTGGCTGAGTTTAGAGCCCCTGTCTGGAGCCCCTACCCTCAGACCCCTCAGAGCGCTGAATTCAGTGCGTTCACGTGGGCCAATGTTCTGGCTACGAATCCCTCTGATTGTCATGTTTATTCAGATTGCCTTAATGCTGTTCGGCTCGCTGGTCGTCCGAAGCCTGAGCAATTGTCCGGCAAAAGGATGTATGCGGGTGCCTTTTTGCAGTGCCATGGTCAGTGTTCCTCGGTCTCGGGTTGCTCGGAAGTCGCTGCCCACCAGGACATTGAAGACCCAACCATTGACGCTACTGAGAGGTGGCGTCGCATTGGCAACAACTTCGCTGATGTATGGGGGAAAAACGGCCCTTCTTCTTCACCCTTCTGATTTTGGATTGCTTCAGGATGCTGATCGCCAGGTCAAGTTTGCGAAGGCTACTCTTAAAGTTGCCAGCGCGGTACTTCATTTGTGGCCCTCGATAGATTTGTCTTCTGTCGGACGGATCCAGCCACCTTCCTCTATAGCCAGTACCGCTGCTGGCCATCGTTGGGCTCGCTGGGCTGGTATTTGGAGGTGCCCGTTCTGTCTCAAAGGATGTCGGGCCCTGGCCCCCCCCACCAGAGGTCGCTGCCCTCGGCGCAGCAAGCTTCGCGCTGCCCGCCAGGACCGCCTTGGCCACAAGACCTTGGCTTTTGATTGCTCTGACCAGCCGGTCTTAGTTTTTTGCTTGCGTTGCAAGAGCTACTCGTCTGGAGGTAAAGTCAGAGGTTTGGCTGAGCGCTGCGCCCCCCCCCCCCCACCCACCCACCCCACACACACACGCGCGCACACTCGAGCTGGCAGACTGGCTCGGGTACAACTTTGTAAAGGCAAGCACCCTCACTACACTCGTCGGAAGCTCGGTGTTTCTGTGGACGTCGACTCGTTTGTGGAATGTTTCAACAGGCCAGGCTTCGAAGAGCAGGTAGATTTTCAGCCCCTGGTGCAGCTTATTTCTGGGGCGGCGGAGCCCCCCTGTCCACTGGTTTCTCGTGGGTCCCCAAAGGTTTATGAGGGGGACGACCCAGCTCTAAAGAACGCGGCCCAGTGGCGTCTGCTGGCCTCCTGGCCAGATCTCCTCCCTTTTCCTCCTCTGGAGTGGAGCGGGGGGTGGGGCCTGGGCGGGGCGGTGTGGAGAATTGGGATAATCTCTTTGTTACTGAGCAGGAAGCGTCTAGCTTCCTTTTCGGTCGAGCAGCTGGCGATTCTGGCGCTGCTCTTACTGCGCCTGTTCATGAGGCCCGTCAGCAGGAGATGAAGCGGGGGCCCCATCAAGAGCTGCGACGGGGCATCCCTTCTTTCTTGGCGTGGCGACGACAGGATGAGTCGGACAGTTCTGATTAAGCTTTCTTTGGCGTAAGGGACGCCTTCATTCTTAGTTATTCCTTCTAGCGCGGCCCGATGCGACTGACCCTTTTGGCAGGCATCCCTGCTATACCCCACATCTGGGGCGAGGTTGGCAATCGTCCTGGCGCTGGCTGCAGCGGGGACTGCTGGCCTCGTCGTCCTTGTGTGGGTGGTCGGTTTTCTTCTGGCGCAAGGGGCGCCTTTTTTCTGATTCGTTCATGCCGGCGCGGCCCGATGCGTCTGACCTTTTCGGCAGGCATCCGGGCTTTACCCCGCATCTGGGGCGAGGTCGGCGGTCGCCCTGGCGCTGGCTGCACCAGGGACTGCGGGCCCCGTCGTCCTTGTGTGGGTGGTCATTTTGTTTCTTTAGGGTTTACTTTTGCGCGCGGCCTCGCGCGCGCGCGTCCGTCTCGCACGGGCGTCAGGGACCCCGCTTCAGGGGGAAGGCATGAGCACATCTAGGGTGCACTTTTGCACGGGGGTGGCCCCGCCCCGACCGTGGCTTGGGTAAGGTGTTGCCGTGGCCAGGTAGCCTGGTGCTCCTGGCCCCAACATCCCCCCTCCTCTTGCGTCGTGCGGCCGTCTCGCGTGCGCGCGCGCGCCCCGCTCGGCGCGCGCGTCTGGCCCCCCCCTCGGGGGAAGACGCGGCACTCGTGGAGGGGTGTGGTTTTGACCGTCTGTCCTCTTGCACAGCCGAGGGCAGTCGGTCCGAGCTTTTTTTTCCATTTGCAGGACCCCTGCATTTGGCTTTGTCTCTGCGCTAGCAGCTCGGCCTCCGTTCTGTTGCTTTGTGTGCCTGCCCCCTCTCTTAGAGATGGTGTGGCAGGTGCGCTTTGACTGGGGCGTCAGGAGGAAGAGGCCCCTTTTGGTCTCCCGAGCTGGCTTCACTTGCGCTGATGACTCAGACCGTGCGGTCTGGGTCAGGGAGCCAGCATCCCCCTCCGCTGCTTGCTCTGGACCTCGGTTCTCGCCCGAGGATGTGGGGGCGTTGACGTGGATGCCAAAAATCTGGAGGCCCGTCTGCAGCATCAGGGCCACCACGCGTCGATCCGAGGCGAAAAACTCGTTACGCAGAAGGGATCCAACTCTTCTGGGACTCACCGACTGAAGAAGTGCAGCGTTGGGGGGCTGGGGTATTCGCTGCTTCTTTTGCGCTCGCCCGAGGAGTACTCCTATCGCCACAGCTGGATGCGCCGCGAAAGCGTGGCCAGAACGCGGTCCAGGACACGGTCCGTGGGCCGATCTTGAGAGGTGGGGGCGCGAGGCTTTGGGTGTCGAGAGGAAATCATCATGGGCCCCGAGCGTTTCTTCGCAGCGTGGGCGTTTGCGGGCGGGGGGGGGGCGGATGGGGCAGGCGGCATGATTCTGGCCCCCGGGGCGGACAGGACACGGCGCACGACGAGCAGCCGACCCAGGGATTGGATCGGGAGCTCTGGGGACGTCGTTGGGCTGCGCAAGAGATTCCTGCGGGGGTGTTTGATGAGCTTCCGCCAGACATCTTTCAGCACCCTGTGCTTGTGCGGAGTCGCCACCCGCTCGCTTCCAGCGATTGCCACTTGAAGCCCGTTTCATTACTGCTTGGGGCATGACGGGCGTCATGGCCCCCGCTCCCCCCCCTATGACGTAACGCTCCCCCCCCCCAGTGCGCTCCGGTCACTACCGCCGTGCGCATTGGGATCCGCGTAGGAATCCGCATAGGAGTGGTCTGCAGTCGTCGTCGTCTTCGCTCGTGGCTTGTCGCTTGTCGCTCATAGTTGTCGTGCCGCGCAGACGCGGCTGATGACTTTTTTTGGTTTTATTCCGGGCCGATGATGGCAATCGTCTAGGGGGGGTGGAGGGGGTCGATGACGTCACGTTTCGCGCCGGCGGCGTCTGGGAATGCTCAGGAATGACGGAGGACGGGTAGCACCAGCATGTAGGTGGCGATTTGCACCACAACGCTTGTGTACACCACAGTGCCTGCGTGCACCACTGCGCCTGTGTATACCACACCGCCTACGTACACCACAACAGCCGCGTGCACCACAGCGCCAGTTTGTGCCACCGTGCCTGCGGGCACAACAGCTCTTGTGCACACCGCAGCGTTTGCGTACACCACATCAGCCGTGTGTACACCACAATGCCTGCGTGCATTGCAGTGCCTGTGTGCATTACGGCGCCTGTGTGCACCACAGCAGCTGCGTGCAACACAGCACCTTTCTTGTATATAGAATGTTAGAATGAACCTTTATGTCAAAATGGAGCGTTTGTGGGTTCCACAGAAGAGAAACGAATCCTTATAGACAACGGAGCGCCGCTGGAATGTACGGGGCGGAGGAGGACGCGGTGGAGGTGGAAGATGAGGGAGGAGGGAAGAACGTCGCATTCGATTATCAGCACTTGCCTGGCGTGGCGCCTAGTTGTCCGCAGCGGATCCTCACGTACATGCCCCTTCTACCTGTCCCATGCAAGCAGGCATTGTGGTGTACACCAGCCCTGCGTTGCACGCGGATGCTGTGGTGTATGCGCGCGCTGTGGCGTGCACAGTCGCTGCGGTGCACGCAAGCACTGTGGTGTACACGTGCGCTGTGTTGCTCATGGTAGTTGCGGTGTGCACATGTACACCGGCGTCGTCGTGTACGCAAGCATTGTGGTGTACACAGGCGCTGCGTTGCACACGGTTGATGCGGTGTACGCAGGCGCTGTGGTATACACGCGCGTTGTGGTGCACGCGAGCGTTGTGGTGTACACAGGCGCAGTGGGGCATATCGCCACCTACAGGCTGTTCGCGTCGTCGCCGCTCGTCGCTCGTCGCTCGTCGCTCGTCGCTCGTCGCGTCGCGCGCGCGGGTGCGGCTGCGGTACCGGAGCCACACGGCGGGGGGGGGGCGTTACGTCATACCCCCCGTTCGCCCCCTCCCCCCCCCCACCCCCAAGACGCCAGTCATCGCCGAACATCAAAGAAACGCGCTCTTGCCGTGTCTTCGTTGTGCGCCAAGCGTCGCGCACTCCACGCGGTACCGCCTTTGTTTTCACTCGTTGCTGATTGTCTGCTCTGTGGACTGGCGCGAGAGAGGCCATAATCAACTTCCCTCCAACCTACAAGGCAGCCGTCTCTCACTCTCGGTGCGCCTGTTGCAATGTGGTTGTTGGTAGGAGTGTCAGGTTTGATTCGGTAATGGGCCATGTTCTCCCTTCCATAGTGTGCTTGTGGTTCTCGTAGACCAGTCTGGCATCTCGGTTACGGTTGTTCTTGATTATCGCGATGGCGAAGCCTCCGAGTATCACGTTTGTTTCATAGTTCGAAGTCACAACGGTTGTTAGTCGGCTTACTCCTTGCGCGCATGCACCTGACATTCATGTGTACATAATGTTGGCGACATCGTGCAATGTGTGCTAGAAAGTTCATCTGGGCACTCACGTGAACAGTTTGCAAATCCACGTGCACACCCACTCACACCCACGCACCCAGACGCGTGCGCACCTGCCTCTCATCACAGAGCGTTGCTGCCTAGTCGAACAGCACCGGTTGACGACATGCCGAACCAATCACTTCGAGGGGCAGCTGGGGGGACGGGATGTGCCACATGCACAATATTCAAATACCTGCGTTTGCTATTGCACCGTCGCAAGCGATGTGAGCGACTCTTGCTGTATGATATTGTGGGATCATCGTCGTCGCGGGTGGAGGCCATCGACCTGCAATCGACGCGCCTTCATGCAGTATAGCAAAGATGTGTATTATGGTCGCCAAAGTCTAAGCTCGTGATGGTGACCCTCTCGTGCTGTCGGGTAATCCTCCTGAGGAGTTGGCCCAGTATCTGCAGAGTGGAAGAGGTTTGAAGCTGGAAGATGCACATGAGGAGCGCGCATGCTTACAGGCGAGAGCTCCACGCATACGCTGAGTCCGACGGTGGCGATGGCCTTGGGCCTTGGTGGTGGCATATCAGCTTAAATGTCCCTGGAAACCTCCGCCCCCAAGGGTCCCAAACGGGCCCAAGAACAATTTGCAAGCCCACGGTCCTCTCCAGACGCCTTGGTTTATCCACAGCGAGAGGACGTCCTGGTCATCCTCGTCCTCGGGCTCTTGCTGTGAGCGGAGGCCCAGAACAAGGGCAGATGTTCCCGTCGACCGGGGCAGAGGATCCCTCGGGAGAGGGCGGCCCGCGGCGGGAGGCTGCGAGGGCGGAGGCGCCGGGGGCCTCTCCCAGCGCGAACGGCCCAGCGTGCCCGCTCTCCAGATGACCAGGCGAAGATCGGCGGCGCGCCGAGGGGGTAATTATAGGTGAGAGGCGAGGCCTCCGAGAGAGGGAGTCGGAGTAGATTGGGGTCGGAGGGTCGCGCCGCATCGCCGATGCATCGGCGATTCGGCTCGATGTGGAGCCCGATCCTCCACGCCGATGCACCGCCGACGTGGCCGAGGCATCGGCGATGCGAAGCGATCCTCCGACCCCGTGTGCTCGGACCCCATTTGAGAGGCCTCCAGAGAGGTGGCAGGCCTTCTCTGAAGGCGGCGCGGCTTCTCGACTTCTCAAAGCCACCCTGCCTTCTGAGAAGCCCGCTGTGGCTTCGAAGAAGGCTTATATAAAGTTTTTCAGCCTTCTTGGACGGCCCGCCCCCGTCGCCCCTCCCCCTGGGCGCGTCGCCGAGAAGACGGCAACAGTAAGTACTTCCGCCAAGCAGTCTCGAAATGCTCGCTATGATACATTGTGGGGCACACTTGCCGTTGGAGTAGCGATGCCCCCCCCCCCCCGAGCTTCATCAGATTACCTGGACGACCCTGGATCAGAAGCTTCCGTGGGGCATCTGTTTGCAGTCAGGTTGATTGATCTATGCACTTGTTTTACGTACCAGGACGACCATGCGGGAAAGGAGTGTTCTGATGAAAGACGGCATGGCATGAACACAAGACATAGCAGTCATTTGCTGTGTACGGTGAACAGTGCAGATCAGGGATGCGCGATAAAGGCCATAACTATGCGCACTAGTCTGGAGCCCAAGATGGGCCTGGCCAGGGCCAGTGTATGTGTCTAGCTGGATCCCTCTATGAGGAGGCGTCAGGGCGGGGAAGTTGAGGATGGCAGCGAGGCTGGCTGTGACGGAACAGGCAGGTGTCCCTGTCTTACTCTGCTTGCCGATCCTCCCCCGAGTTTGATGTCAACACGGACAACTACGACACTTCCGCAAAGCAGAGGGTACCGTCGTGGACGGACCGACCGGCCCGCCAGATGATGGATGCGTGAGTTCGGTTTTGCTCCTCCCGCGGCTGCCACAGGTGCAGCAGGTGAAGGAGTCAGAGGAGGGATGCAGGACTGAGGGTGAAGAGGAGAGGGAGGGATGGGGATGGATGAGGTGAGGAGGAGGAGGAGGAGGAGGAGGAGGAGGAGGAGGAGGAGGAGGGAGGAGCAGGAGGAGGAAGAGGAGGAAGAAGAGGGAGGAGAAGGAGGGAGGAGAAGGAGGAGGAGGGAGGAGGAGGAGGCGGAGGAGGAGGCGGAGGGATGAAGAGGGTGTGTGGGAGGAGAAGGGGGGAGCTGGAGGTAGAAGGGGAGGTGGGGAGAAATGATGGGCGGGGAGAGGGAGGAGAGGAAATGGAGACTGGGTGGGTCGAAGAGCATGTGCCGGGGGAGGGGGAAGAGAAGGATGCGAGGTCCCAATGCCATGCGATGACGGACCGCGCGGCGAGGTCTCTGGGGACTTCGAGGTCACCACGCTGTCTCTCACCGCACGGTTTTGGGGGCCCGAGAAGTGTTCGGGAGAATGCGCCCGAACATGGGCCTCCGGCGCCCACGAGAGCACAGCAAACGGGCGCGTTTTTGTCGTCGCGTCTCGGGGCGACCTGGGGTTGGGGGGCGCTTCGGGCCCCGCGCGACGTGAAGGAATATCGCCCCGCGCGGCGGAGCAGCGGTCGTCTCAGGGATGGGGACGGGAGCGCCGGGGGCCCGCGTCTTGAGAAGAGCACGCCGTCGGATGGCCTGCGTCTCGAAAACATCGAGACGGAGTTGTTTCGTTATTTCTGCCTCTCGGAGCCTTCTGCAGGGCCTCGGGACCATCGAAAAACGGCAGGGTACGGGGAATTGGCCTGCCTCTTGAAGAGCGCGCCGTCGGATGTCTGGATCTCGAGGAACAAAAACCGCGCAGCGTTCTTGGATCGGCGCTGGGCCCCCCTCGCGGCGCCTCCGGCGCCGCCCCTCAGTGCGCCAGGGAGGGGGGCCCAGCGCAGATCCAAGCAATCCGTGCGGACCTCCGAAAGCGTATGTTTATGCAGTTGTTTTGTTCTTCTGATGTCGACCCGAGGTAATTTGATGAATCCGAGCGAATGCGTCGATACCAGCCAATACTTTCTGTGTGTGTGCGTGTGTATATGTGTGTGTTATGTCAACCCCGTTTAATGTACCAGATGTATGCCATTCTGCCGAGGCCCATGAGAAGAGATGTGCGGCTTCCGATCCGTATGTTTGGTTTGCCGTTTCTGGCCTTGTTGTTTGCGGATAGTTCTTGCTGTTTCGTCCTCCTCTTCCTCCGCGTCCGTTGCCGGTTTTTTTCGGGGCCTCTTAGAGGCCTATTGGAGCAGCTTCTTGGAGTACTTTCAAGGCTTCTGAAAGCTTTGGGGGGCCCTCTGGGGGCTTCCTGGGGGCCTCTTGGTGGCATGCTGGGGATCTTGGGGTCCATCTTGTGTGGGAGGGCTTTCAGGGTCCCAGCGCGTTTCCCTCTGTGGGCTCTCTTCGGCCCTTTCTTGGGACCGTCTAGAAGGTATGTTTCTTGATCTTGGGGGTCGCTTGGGCCGTGTCGGGGCCTTCTTGGTGGTCATTTGGGCCATCTTGGAGTCTCAGACTAGCCCGAATGGCAAGATCACGAAAATGATGCAAAAACCATGAGATCAACGGTTTTGCCTCGTGCGGCTTTCTTAGGGGTCCTCTCGGTGATCTCTTGGGGGGGTTTTCGTTGCGTTTTGGGCCATCTTGGGTATTCTTGAGGCCTCTTCAGCGTGCCCAGTTCTGGAGGCATCTCAGATTGCACTTGAGTGGGTTTGGATTCCCCGAGGACCCCAGAAGTGCGTTGGGCTGCTCGCCCATACCCCCCCTCAAGCGGGATGTTGGACACACAGGGAGGGGGACAGCCAAATGTCTCACACACCGTTTAGCGCCGGCTAGCGGGGGTTGGTGGATTACGTACATCAGCGCTTTGTTGCATAAGTGCCAGCCTTCTTTTGTCATTCAGATCCGTAAAATGCGTCTCGAGCTTATTTTTCGGCGGGCTTGGCTTCACATTGGGGTGGGCGAGGCTGGTAAGGGACCACGCGATCTGGCCAGAGGGCGCCTTCCTGCGAGAGGGCTTGTCCTCGACCGAGCCGCCGCCGTATGGGCAGGCTCTCGAAGGACAAGCGCGACATCTACTACCGCGAGGCCAAGCGGGAGGGTTTCCGCGCGAGGTCGGCGTTCAAGCTGCTGCAGATCGACGAGGATCGAGGCAGAACAAGCACAGCAGACTGCCAAGACGATGAGATGAGGACATTTGGGGCTCAGGAAGGGTTTTGATATTCGGGCCGTTCCTTAGTTCTAGGTCGGGGAACCAATTCGTAGAAGAGGCTCAGAAGCGCTTTGGTTTCTTTTTCAGCGTCCTGTGCGGTGGCACGATGATTGTAGGCATAAGCTTTCGTGGGTATGCTCTGATCTCTTGGATCGGTGTTGGGGCCCCTCGGTGGCGCCTCCGCGCGCCAGGGTGGCGTGCGGGGGGGGGGTCCAGCGTCGACTTCAGAAATATGCGAGCCCCTCTACCTACAGGACGGATCTCAGGGAAGGTTCATTGGGATCCCTTCCGCACCTAAGGGCCCCATGCCCCGGGGCCCTACCTCTGGGCCCCCTTGCTGTGCCCCTGCAGGAGCTCAACCTCCTGGAGGGCGTCCGGAACGTGGTGGACCTCTGCGCAGCCCCCGGGTCCTGGAGCCAGGTGCTCGGCGGAAGCAAACGGGGTCGACTGCGCGGACACTCGCGCGCAAGCGTCCCGCGCGAGGTCGCGCGTCGGCGCCCTCTTCTCCACGCGGCGTGCCACGCCTGCGACCCGCGTAGTCCAGGCATCCCAGAGGGGGTCCGAGTAGATGGTGTCGGAGGACCGCGCCGCGTCGCCAATGTATCGGCGATGCGGCTTGATGTGGAGCCAGATTGTCCCGACGCCGACGTCGCCGATGCATCGCCGACGTCGCCAGTGCATCATCGACGGTGCATCGCCGAGGCATCGGCGATGCGGCGCGATCCTCCGACCCCATCTACTCCGACCCCATCTGGAAGTCCTCTACGTAGACCCGCGGCGTAAGGACGCTGTGTCATCTCGCGTGAGGCCCGTCTCTTTTCGTCGCTCAGGTGCTGGCCTCCCGCCTCCTCGCCCCCCGCGCCGAGATAGAGGCTCCCTCCCGGGGCGGCGGCGGCGCGGCTGCCGCGGCGGACGCGGCCAGCATCGTGGCCGTGGACATGTACGCGATCCAGAGGAGAAGAAGCTGCTTGAGCATGAACTCTCGGGGGTCAAGACGCCCCTTTTCGGATTTCTTGGATCCGTGCAAGACACCCCTTTTCGGATGCAGCTCCTGGGAGGTTAACCTCAACATCGGCTCTGGTACGTCCGTGGTCGGAAACCAGCCCAATCAGGCCTGAGCCCGCTGCATTTCGCTTGATCATGTTCAGTATTGGGCTTAATCTTGGGCTCAGTGTCGGCTCGATCTGGGCTACGCCAGCTTAATAGCCCCTGAGTCGGTGCCTTTCATCGTAACGCATCGTTTTTACATGTTCTTACGAATACCTACAACGAATTGCTTCCTAACCCCTTGCGGCGCGCTCCACGCACCATGAAGGGGGGTGTCTGGCGCCGATCCGAGAAGAATTCGCGGTGTTACGGAAAGTTCTGCGTATGTTGTGTTCTTTTCCTCTGGCGATGGAGCCCATTGCAGGCGTAGTTCAGGTCTCGTCGGACGAAAAGGGGGTGATGGGGAAGGGGGATTGTACGAAATCATGTGTGTGCAGACGGTTTCGACCCTGCTGCCGAGCGCCTCCTTCGGTATACATTGGCGCCTTCGGCTCCAGGAGGCGCCAGTAAAATCATCTGCGTAAGCTGATTTGCTCACCCTCCTTTACTGACCCATGAGATCCGACGTCGACAGGTGCAGGGGGACATCACCCATGCGTCCACGGCCCAGGATCGGAGGCGACGATAGGGGCGAATAGCCTAGTGGGGAGCACCACATGTATCCAGGGGCGCCGATCATCCATGTCTTTGGCGAGGCTCCCTGGCGAATACGTGTAGTGCCCGCCCCTGGACTATTCTTTTGGGACCGACATGGGTACGGAAACAATGGGTGCAAAGTCCAACAGCAGTTTTGGTTCATTTTGAACAGAACTTGCTGTCGTTGTCACCGCGGACGTTTTCCATTTGAGATAGAAGGACACCCGCCCAACAATGGCCGCTGTCGGTTTTAGACATCGTTTGCTGTTGCGCATCGTACCCATTTTTTCCGTACCCGTCTCGGGCGCCCAAATTCGCAGGTTCAAAGATATGGTCCTGAGGGACGGGGTCCTAGAGATAGGAATGGGTCCAAGAGCGGGGTGTACAGTGTTTGAGGCACCTCGCCCTTAGGACCCTATCTCTCAGGACCCCGTATTTGAACCACCGACACAGATTCGCCCGTATGGTCGCCTCCGACAGGAGGTGCTCGGGCACCTCCGCGGGGACCCGGCGGACCTGGTCGTCTGCGACGGGGCGCCCGACGCCACCGGCGTGGGGGACTTCGACGAGTACGTGCAGCACCAGCTGCTGCTCTCCGCCCTGCTCCTCGCGGAGGCGCTCCTGCGCCCGGGGGGCGGCTTCGTGGCCAAGATCTTCCGCGGGGAGCACGCCGCGGAGGTACGGGGTGTGTGGGCCATAACGCGCGTCATGCCCCCTCCCGTCCCCCCCTTAGTGCGTCCTGGCACTGCCGCAGTGCGTCTGGCGCCACAGTCTGGCGCCACAGTCTGTGGTGCCGGACCCACAGGGCGGAGGGGAAGGCATCACGTTATGTCCTCTCCGCGCCCCCCCACCCCTCCCCCCCATAACGCCCGTTATCAGCGTTAAATTGAAACATCGCTCTTACGCCAGGGTGTGGTTTGCGATTTGCGTCGTTGGGTCTTGGGGGTGGGGTCCACGTTGCTCTCGTCGGGCCCTCTCGGGCCGCGGCGGAGAAATCTGTTGATGTCCTCGCACGCCCCTCAGGCAACCTCACCCTTTGGAGTCGCCAAGAGGTGTACGCACGCCTCCGGCGGGACTTTTCGAAGAAGAAAGGCAGCATAAGCGTGAGTTTTCTGAGGTCTGCGTGGATTTCTTGGGTCGGCGCTCCGATCGCCAGGGAGGGCAGGCCCAGCGCCGGTCCAAGAACTCTGCGCGGACCTCCGAAAGTTGATGTTCCGTGCCGCCTTTGCTTCCTCCATTTTCGACGACGTGGTCGTCTGCAAGCCGCGGGCGTCGCGGAACTCGAGCCAGGAGGCTTTCGTGGTCTGCCGCGGCTTCGCGCCCCTGGCCGGCCCCGGCACGGCGCCGGCGCTGTACTCTCCGGGGCGGCACGCCGAGCTCGTGGACCTGGGCCCAGGCTCGGCGCGCCTGGTCGTCCCCTTCGTCGCGTGCGGCGCCCGGGACGGCCCAGACGCCGACACGAACTACGCCGTCGGCCCCGGGCACAGGCTCGGCAGGTCAAAGACGGCCCACGAGCCATGGGGCCCAGACCTTGGGATCCGACGTCGCGGAGAAGCTCAAATACCGTAAGAAGCCTCGACCGGAGGCCTGGCCCCAGCTTTCTGCAGCTCTCGGGCGGGATCGACCCGTGCGGGCCCGGGGCCCGCAGCAGTGCAGTGTCTCCCGTTGTGAACAAGCTGCCACCCCCGGAACTCAGGGAAGGACCAGTCCCAGAGATCCGACGTCGTGATTTTTTCAGTACGCTGTCCCTGGAATTCTCGACCCATTCCCCAGGACCGGCGTTCCATCCTGAGTCGTTTTTCGACAGTCCCGGAACCCGGCGAGGGCCCCTAGAGGCCCGAAATCGCGAAGGACATCCGCCTTGATTTTTTCAATGCGTTGGATTTCTGGGGTGCCCTCAAGCAGTGACGGTTCACTGGGATCCTTTTCGCGCCCAACGGCCCCGGGCCTCAGGGCCCCATCTCTGAGCCGCCGGCAGGCTCCTCGGCCCAGTGGCGCCGCCGCTGCAGGCGCCCTACCGGGAGGCCCTGGAGGAGCGGCGCGGCCTGAAGCGCGCCGCGGCGGCGGCGGCCGCTGGCGCGGGGCCGCCCGCGTGACCGCGGGGCGCGCTCGCGACAAAAGATCCCATCCCCATCCCCCATCCCAATCCCCATTCCCATCCCCATCCCCATCCGCTCGTTTAACCGATCGCCATTCCCATCCCTATCCCGATCCCCACCATCCCACCACCCCAGTTGAGGATATGCCCCTCGAAGCCCGAAGAGAACCAGGGTTTAAATCGGCCTGTGTGGCCCAGGCCATGCCCGTTGGGATATGGATCGGTTAAACGATGCTCAGAGGGGAGGGGGTGACTCCTGGCTCCACGCCGCAAGTTACCCGATCATGACTGCCAATGTCTTCTTTCCCCTGGCAGCGGACGCGAGACGTCGATTTCCACAGGCAGTGTACGAATAGGCTTTGGCGGGTTCTTGGCGGTCCCTTCTCGCCTCGGTGCGATTCCCATCGGGTGTGCCTCGCCGAGGGCTTCCTTGGGGGGGGGGCGCTGGGATCGTCCCGAGCAGCCGCCGGGGATCCGAGTTCTCTTGGCATCGCTCGGACGTGTGCCTCGCTTCTTCGATGAGGACCATCGAGGAGCATCTCAGATCATCCTGCGAAGAAGCAAACGCACGGCATCGAATAATGCACGGGGAATGGACGTCCGAGCGATGGCGAGTTCTGGCCCGACAACTGTCGGGTTTAGCCAGGACTCCGGTGATCGTACCCCGAAGCCCAAACATAGGCCAGAATCTCTAAACCAGGCCTGCCGCAGCTAGTGGTTTCCGGGTGACGGCAGTTCCGATTAGTGGAATGAGGCGGGGGGTGGGGGGCGTCCCCCGGTACACATCATTTTTACCCGGTCCCCCTAAACCCAGTCCTGCCAACGCCCGAAAGTGCCAGGCGCCGCGGCGGCCGGGGGCGCTCGCCCAGGGGCGCTGGGATCGTTCGGTCCCGATACCGGTATCGTTGCCTCGTTTCCCCCTTCTTGGCCTTCCTGGGAGGCCCTCATCGCTGCCGCTGGAGTCGCCGCGAGATTCTTGTCAGAACGCACCCAGAGAGAGAGATCTGGGAGTATAGCGGTATCCGTACTGTCTGGTTTCCCCAGATACCCCAGGCTATCGGGCCCGCCCCTCCCCCTTCAACTCCCCCCCCTGGATATCCTGACCTGATCGGTTACGCAGGTCCAAAGAGGGCACGCAGAGATGATGCGCACGGGCATACGTTTGGCTGCTCGAGGCGAAAATGCTGGGTTATTGGCTGGATAACCTCGGTAATCGACGATAGCTAAGCCATATCTCCAGGTCAGTCGGAGGAGGGGAGACGCGACACCAGGACCAGGGATGCCGCCTCCAGGGAGGGGGTCGACGTTGCCTCGCCGAGCTTGAGATCGGAGATGTCTCGAGCGTGAGGGGGGATCACACCACCAGTAGGCCCTCTCCCTGGCTCCTCGCGCTAGTGGTGGTGGTGGTGGTGGTGTCGCTTGTCCCTGCTCCTAGGTCGCGGGACGTCGACTGACCTCCTCTCTGGTGAGGTTGTCAGCAGAGCTGACCCTCGTGGAGCACCTGTCTAGGCCGACGAGGGAGGACGAGGAGAAGGAGGAGGAGGATGAAGACGGGGACGGATGAGGAGGACGGGCAGGGTTCCGACCAGGGTTGAGGGCGTGGGGCGGCAGGGGCCTCCAAAAGTCCTCCAGAGGTTCTCGGAGACCAACAAGAACAAACAAACCAATTGCAACAACATTGTTTTTGAATGCAGGGTTTCACAGGTTTCGAGCTGATATTCTTGTTGCCGAAACCGTTTGGCTCAAGAAAAGGAATCCAGGGGCTCCGCCATTCCGCATGGTAGCGGAGCCTGGTCGAATGCCCACGGCCAGGCTCCCAGTTTCTCGTTTCTCGCGCAGATATGGCAACAGCAGAGGAGGTTCTGAATAGGATCGTGGCCATGGAAGGCGTCGTGGTTCAGCAGAGAGATCCGATAGCGAGGTTGGAACAACAATTTCGAGATGCGAATCAGCGAGCAGCAGCAGCAGAAGGAGCAGCATATGACCGACCCTATCAACAGAGAGCGGAGTCACTCGTCGACACGAAGCTGCTCGGAAAGCCAGATAAGTTTTCAGGTGAGCTCGACGAGAATGCGAAGTACAAGGACGGAGTCACGTGGGAAAACTGGAGTTTCGTTCTGGCGGCCGACTGCATGGCGGTGGACCCTCACATTGCGGAGTTGATGCGGGACGCTGCAAAGGTCGACGCGGAGGCTTTCGCACGCGAAGAGCTAGACGGAGAGGCCCAGCGAGTCAACACCAACCTGTACGACATCCTTGTACTGACGTGTAAGGACAAGGCTCAGGGCATCGTGAAGAGCGTTCCCTCAGGAGAAGGCCTAGAGGCCTGGCGACCGCTGTGTTTGGAGTTCGAGCCGAAGGTGCCGTCGAGGTTCTCAGGTATGTTAGACTCGATACTGTTTCCGAATGCGCAGGAGAACGATCCGATCAAGGGCATCGTGTCGTGGGAGACGTTGGTTCAGAGATATGAAGAGCAGACAGGAGAGAAGGTCATGGAGCAGATCAAGAAGTCTGTTCTCAGTACGCGACTGGTGCCGTCAAAGTTTCGAGAACATCTCATGCTGAATGCGACGAGGTTCACGACATACGCGTTGGCACGAGCGGAGGTGTTGAACTACTTGAGGTCGAAGCAGGCGGCGATGGCACTAAGCGGACCTGCGCCGATGGGTCTGGATGCGCTTACGTTTGGCAAGTTCGGCAAGGACTCAAAAGGCAGACACGGCAAAAAAACAAGAACAATGGAAAGGGCTATGACCAGAGCGCGACGCAGCCTTGCAAGTATTGCGGCAAGAAAGGTCATGAGCTCATGGAGGGCAGGAAGGCCACGCAGGACATGAAGGACGGAAAGATTACGAAGGGGGACTTGCGACATATCAGCAAAGGCAAGGGCAAGGGTAAGGACAAGGGCGACAAGGCGAATAACACACCTGCGCCCGACAAGCCCAGGGATCAAGACATGAAGTACTTAGGTTACGATTACGACGCCGAGGAGGGCTACATCTTCATGCTGAATGAGAACGAGACTGAGGAGCTAGATCCCATTTCGGGTTTAGATCACACGGAGGTAGACGGATGCACTGTGAATCTAGATAGCAAGAAGGAGCCCAATCACAAGTTCAACGAGAATGACGAGAGCTACCTGATTCCGATAGAGTTCGAGAATGACAACGACGGTAAGATCGAGGTGATGGTTGATTCACGTGCGGCACGGAGTGTTTGCCCACCTGGTTTCGCACCAAGAATACCGCGAGAAGAAGCGGACGCACCGCCACTACGACAGACAGATGGTACTAAGATCTACGCGAACGGCTGCAAGACGGTACAAATGCAGGTGGCTGGGACTCGACAACCAATTCGAGGACAGTTCGATGTGCGAGACGTTCACAAGACGATCATTGCGGTGAGCGACCTGACGAAGGGAGCTCAAGGCGCATGGTTCGACGAAGGCGGTGGGGCAGTGGTCAATCCAAAAGTCAGCCAGCGGATCAAGGAGATGATCGAGTACGAGAACGCGAACAACCAGATGAACAGACCACTGAGGATCTCGACGAGGCGTGGGATCTACAGCTTCGACGTGGACGCGAGCACGCTCTGCCCTCTAGAAGGCGATGAACCTGAACAAGCTCAGCAGCCGGCGGAGCAGGAGGAGGAGATCGAGACAGACGAGGCGCGACCGCCGAAGGTCAAGAAGGAGAGGTGCAAGCCCACAGCGGAGGAGATAGCCATCCACGAGAAGACGCGCATGCCGTATCGGGACTGGTGCAAGTGGTGCCTTTGGGGCCGAGGCAAGGAAGATGGTCGCAAGAAGGCTAGCCCAGAGGAGGCGCCGACGATTCCAGTCATTAGCATGGACTACTGTTTCGTGAACACCGAGCTGGAGACGGAGATGGCCAATTTCCTGGTGATGGTACAGAAGCCTGAGGACGCAGTTGCTTCCATCATGGTGATCCACAAGGGGCCCAGCAGGTACGTCCACTCAGCGGTGGAGTTCTACTTGGACGTTTGGGGAGCAGCGGATATCATCCTGAAGGGCGACCAGGAGCCATCGCTACAAGCGGTGATCACGGCGGTGAAGAATCGGAGGAATCACAGCACGCAGGTGGAGAAGGCTCCTAAAGGTTCTCATCAGAGCAACGGGGCGATTGAGAACGCGGTGGAGAGAGCGGAGTCGTTATTATGTACACTACACAGCGAGCTGGAGGTGAAGTTGGAGGTGAAGATCGGACCCAAGAGTTTGATCATGCCGTGGTTGGTTAGGCACGTGGGGTACTTGCTCACCAGGTTCGCTATCAAGACGGATGGCAGGACAGCTTGGGAACTTTTGGGACGTGCAAAGTTCAAGTCAGAGCTCGGGAAGATCGGAGAGACGATTGACTACAAGATACAGGCTAAGGACTACCCCAAGCTGGAACCAAGGTGGGGCGAAGGTATCTTCTTGGGCAGGCGCGACGAGAGCGACGAAATCATCGTAGGTGCGTCGAGGGCGATCGAGCACGCCAGGACGATGAAGCTCAGGGCCACGGAGGACAAGTACAACAAGGAGGTCTACAACACGTTCATAGGAGTGCCGTGGAATCCCAGGGGCTTGGAGGTGAAGGATCAGAATGAGGTGGTCAGGAGACGGAAGTACATCACGAATGCGCTGATCGAGGAGTATGGACCTACAGATGGGCGTGCAGCATGCGAAGGGAACTCATCAATACACAACGCGAGGTGCAGGACGAGGTTCGCCAATATCTTCGAGGAGGCCGAGCCGAGGATCGAGATGGCATCAGGAGATCAACCGGGACAAGCGCAACCGGCAGCAGCACCAGCGGCAGTTCCAGCAGCACAGCCACCACCAGAAAATGCTAGAGTAGCAGAACCACGACTTGAAGAAGAAGGTCAGCGAGCTCCAGGTACACCGGTTGGTCATCACTTTGGACGTGAGCTACCGATCGAGCAGGACGCGGCGATGACGGGTAACGCGATCGTAGCTGGAGGAGATGTGGCACCTAC